GTGATCGTTTGAGCCAGTGATCATGTGAGCCAGTGATCATGTGAGCCAGTGATCATGTGATCATGTGAGCCAGTGATCATGTGAGCCAGTGATCGTGTGAGCCAATAATCATGTGAGCCAGTGATCATGTGAGCCAGTGATCGTGTTAGCCAGTGATCGTGAGAGCCAGTGATCATGTGAGCCAGTGATCATGTGAGCCAGTGATCATGTGAGCTAGTGATTATGTGAGCCAGCGATCATGTGATCATGTGAGCCAGTGATCGTGTGAGCCAGTGATCGTGTGTGCAATGAGCTGTTGTCTAGGAGATGATGTGTCTAGTGAATGCTCTTAGCACACATTCTACGATGACATAACTAGCACAAGCCGACACCGACCTAGCAGTATAAAAAAGTTTATTGACATCTCATCATTTACATAAACGTCCTGTCCGTGTCCTAATATAAAGCTTGCACACACCACAGCTATCACTCTCCAACATGCTAGTTTCTCACACAATCATTGACCAGAGTTCAAACAGATGGATCTGGTTATTTTCATCGACTTCACAGAGAATGGCCTGGCTGGTCTTGGGCTTCAATGGATGTCGTCGTCTGCTCTTCCTCTCGCAGCAATCAGTCTCACATTGTCATTCTCTCGATCCCTCTCCCGTCCTTTCACTCCGACAGTCAACACACACTAACTCATACTAACTGGGGTCCGAACTTATACCCAGTGATCGTTCAACGTGGTTGTTCTTGGGTTCCACGTGGCGACCTGTGGTCGCTATCATCGGGTTCCACGTGATAACTCGTGGTCATTACCTATCTTGAAAACCTCGGTTAATCCGAGTATCTGGCTTCTCTCGGTATTCTTGTTAACCTTGAGCTCCCTCCCCCCCCCCCCCACCTTCCTAATCAGGGTGAAAATATCACCCATTACGATGTGAGCCAGTGATCGTGTGAGCTAGTGATCGAGTGAGGTAGCACTGATCGTGTGAGTTAGTAATCATATGACCCACTGATCGTGTGAGCCAGTGATCGTGTGAGCCAGTGATCATGTGAGTTAGTGAGCAAGTGATCGTGTGAGCCAGTGATCGTGGGAGTTAGTAATCATATGACCCACTGATCATGTGAGCCTGTGATCGTGTGAGCCAGTGATCATGTGATCATGTGAGCCAGTGATCGTGTGAGCCAGTGATCGTGTGAGCCAGTGATAAAGTGAGCCAATGATTATGTGAGCCAGTGATCATGTGATCAAGTGAGCCAGTGATCATGTGAGCCAGTGATCATGTGAGCCAGTGATCATGTGACCCAGTGATCGTTTGAGCCAGTGATCATGTGAGCCAGTGATCATGTGAGCTAGTGATCATATGAGCCAGTGATCGTGTGAGCCAATAATAATGTGAGCCAGTGATCATGTGAGCCAGTGATCGTGTTAGCCAGTGATCGAGTGAGCCAGTGATCATGTGAACCAGTGATCATGTGAGCCAGTGATCATGTGAGCTAGTGATTATGTGAGCCAGCGATCATGTGATCATGTGAGCCAGTGATCATGTGAGCCAGTGATCGTGTGAGCCAGTGATCATGTGAGCCAGTGATCGTGTGAGCCAGTGATTGTGTGAACCAATGATCGTGTGAGCCAGTAATCGTGTGAACCAGTGATCGTGTGTGCAATGAGCTGTTGTCTAGGAGATGATGTGTCTAGTGAATGCTCTTAGCACACATTCTACGATGACATAACTAGCACAAGCCGACACCGACCTAGCAGTATAAAAAAGTTTATTGACATCTCATCATTTACATAAACGTCCTGTCCGTGTCCTAATATAAAGCTTGCACACACCACAGCTATCACTCTCCAACATGCTAGTTTCTCACACAATCATTGACCAGAGTTTAAACAGATGGATCTGGTTATTTTCATCGACTTCACACAGAATGGCCTGGCTGGTCTTGGGCTTCAATGGATGTCGTCGTCTGCTCTTCCTCTCGCAGCAATCAGTCTCACATTGTCATTCTCTCGATCCCTCTCCCGTCATTTCACTCCGACAGTCAACACACACTAACTCATACTAACTGGGGTCCGAACTTATACCCAGTGATCGTTTAACGTGGTTGTTCTTGGGTTCCACGTGGCGACCTGTGGTCGCTATCATCGGGTTCCACGTGATAACTCGTGGTCGTCACCTATCTTGAAAACCTCGGTTAATCCGAGTATATGGCTTCTCTCGGTATTCTTGTTAACCTTGAGCTCCCCCCCCCCCCCCCCCCCCCAACCTTCCTAATCAGGGTGAAAATATCACCCATTACGATGTGAGCCAGTGATCGTTTGAGCCAGTGATCGTGTGAGCCAGTGATCGTGTTAGCTAGTAATCGTGTGAGCCAGTGATCATGTGAGCCAGTAATCATGTGAGACAGTGATCATGTGAGCCAGTGATCATGTGAGCCAGTGATCGTGTTAGCTAGTGATCGTGAGAGCCAGTGATCATGTGAGCCAGTAATCATGTGAGACAGTGATCATGTGATCATGTGAGCCAGTTATCATGTTTGCCAGTAATCATGTGAGACAGTGATCATGTGATCATGTGAGCCAGTGATCATGTGAGCCAGTGATCATGTGAGCCAGTGATCATGTGAGTCAGTGATCGTGTGAGCTAGTGATCATGTGAGCCAGTGATCATGTGAGCCAATGATCATGTAAGCCAATGATCATGTGAGCCAATGATCATGTGAGCCAATGATCGTGTGAGCCAGTGATCATGTGAGCCAGTGATCGTGTGAGCCAGTGATCATGTGAGCCAGTGATCGTGTGAGACAGTGATCGTGTGAGCCAATGATCATGTGAGCCAATGATCATGTGAGCCAGTGATCATGTGATCGTGTGAGCCAATGATCATGTGAGCCAGTGATCATGTGAGCTAGTGATCATGTGAGCCAGTGATCATGTGATCATGTGAGCCAGTGATTGTGTGTGCCAGTGATCATGTGAGCCAGTGATCATGTGAGCCAGTGATCGTGTAAGCCAGTGATCGTGTGAGCCAGTGATCATGTGAGCAGGTAATCATGTGAGCCAGTGATCATGTGATCATGTGAGCCAGTGATCATGTGAGCCAGTGATCCTGTGAGCCAGTGATCATGTAAGCCAGTGATCATGTGAACCAGTGATCATGTGAGTCAGTGATCGTGTGAGCCAGTGATTATGTGATCATGTGAGCCAGTGATCATGTGAGCCAGTGATCCTGTGAGCCAGTGATCATGTAAGCCAGTGATCATGTGAACCAGTGATTGTGTGAGCCAGTGATCGTGTGAGCCAGTGATCATGTGAGCCAGTGATCGTGTGAGACAGTGATCGTGTGAGCCAATGATCATGTGAGCCAATGATCATGTGAGCCAGTGATCATGTGATCGTGTGAGCCAATGATCATGTGAGCCAGTGATCATGTGAGCTAGTGATCATGTGAGCCAGTGATCATGTGATCATGTGAGCCAGTGATTGTGTGTGCCAGTGATCATGTGAGCCAGTGATCATGTGAGCCAGTGATCGTGTAAGCCAGTGATCGTGTGAGCCAGTGATCATGTGAGCAGGTAATCATGTGAGCCAGTGATCATGTGATCATGTGAGCCAGTGATCATGTGAGCCAGTGATCCTGTGAGCCAGTGATCATGTAAGCCAGTGATCATGTGAACCAGTGATCATGTGAGTCAGTGATCGTGTGAGCCAGTGATTGTGTGAGCCAATGATTGTGTGAGCCAGTAATCGTGTGAACCAGTAATCGTGTGTGCAATGAGCTGTTGTCTAGGAGATGATGTGTCTAGTGAATGCTCTTAGCACACATTCTACGATGACATAACTAGCACAAGCCGACACCGACCTAGCAGTATAAAAAAGTTTATTGACATCTCATCATTTACATAAAGGTCCTGTCCGTGTCCTAATATAAAGCTTGCACACACCACAGCTATCACTCTCCAACATGCTAGTTTCTCACACAATCATTGACCAGAGTTCGCACAGATGGATCTGGTTATTTTCATCGACTTCACACAGAATGGCCTGGCTGGTCTTGGGCTTCAATGGATGTCGTCGTCTGCTCTTCCTCTCGCAGCAATCAGTCTCACATTGTCATTCTCTCGATCCCTCTCCCGTCCTTTCACTCCGACAGTCAACACACACTAACTCATACTAACTGGGGTCAGAACTTATACCCAGTGATCGTTCAACGTGGTTGTTCTTGGGTTCCACGTGGCGACCTGTGGTCGCTATCATCGGGTTCCACGTGATAACTCGTGGTCGTAACCTATCTTGAAAACCTCGGTTAATTCGAGTATCTGGCTTCTCTCGGTATTCTTGTTAACCTTGAGCTCTCCCCTCCCCCCCCCCTAACCTTTCTAATCAGGGTGAAAATATCACCCATTACGATGTGAGCCAGTGATCGTGTGAGCCAGTGATCGTGTGAGCCAGTGATCGTGTGAGCCAGTGATCGTGTGAGCCAGTGATCATGTGAGCTAGTGATCGTGTGAGCCAGTGATAAATTAAACTGCAATATTTTGCTAGACTTATTCAAATATTCCATACTTCTTTTTTCTCTCTCAGTCTCTGTCCCGTTCTTTCTCTCACACATACATATACAAACACACACGCACGCATACACGCAAGCACTTGCTACATATAAATATGCAGATGAGTGCACACACAGGCATATAAAAAGACACACAGCATAAGCAAAGATACACACACAGCATATACAAAGATACACACACACCAAATACAAAGATACCCACACAGCATATACAAAGATACACACACAGCATATACAAAGATACACACACATCATATACAGAGATACAAACACAGCATATACAAAGATCAACACACAGAAAATCATCTTTTTATAATGTTACGATGCGCATCCATAAATGGAATATAACATCCTTGTGTCACTAACTGGCATGTTTGTGTCATATTGACCTTGCACTAGTAACCACGGTGATATATCATGGCTGCATCTGTTTGTTGGCAGGAACGAGTGTACCAGGAGATGCAAGAAGTGTTGAAGTCCGATTGTCCTAGCTACGAAGAGTTGAGCAAACTAACGTACATGGAGCAAGTCATCAACGAGACTCTACGCCTGTACCCACCCCTGCTAAGTATCAACAGGCTGGCCAAGGAATCCGTCACCTACAACGGAATAACCATCCCAAAAGGAGCCACAGTGATGATACCCTTGTTTCACATACTCACAGATCCCAACATCTATCCTGACCCCAATCAATTCGACCCTGACCGTTTTTCACCTGAGGAACGAGAGAAGAGACACCCGCTGGCATTTATGCCTTTTGGCCATGGTCCCAGGATGTGTTTAGGGATGAGGTTGGCTTACCTAGAGCTGAAACAGGGCCTAGTGCAGGTGCTACGTAAGCTGAGGGTGGTCCTAAATGAAGACACAACTCCAAGGAAAGGAGAGGGCAAAATTAAAACTATAGCCCTAGAAATTCTGGTGATGGAAAGACCGATTCGCCTTGCCTTCCAAGTCAGAGAACAAACAGTGACTGGCGTGCCAGAGTGAATTCTCTCTGAGAAGTCAGAGAACAAACAGTGACTGGCATGCCAGAGTGAATTCTCTCTGAGAAGTCAGAGAACAAACAGTGACTGGCATGCCAGAGTGAATTCTGAGAAGTCAGAGAACAAACAGTGACTGGCATGCCAGAGTGAATTCTCTCTGAGAAGTCAGAGAACAAACAGTGACTGGCATGCCAGAGTGAATTCTGAGAAGTCAGAGAACAAACAGTGACTGGCATGCCAGAGTGAATTCCTTCTGTGAAGTCAGAGAACAAACAGTGACTGGCATGCCAGAGTGAATTCTCTCAGCGAAGTCAGAGATGTGTAGTACAACAACTAGTATACAATTACTTAAGCCTAAAGCCATCTGTATGCATGACCTCAATCAACAGGTTTGTCTCTGGTCTCAGTTCTGAAAGTTTGTGTCTGGTCTCAGTTCTGAAAGTCTATGTCTGGTCTCAGTTCTGAAAGTTTGTGTCTGGTCTTAATTCTGAAAGTCTTTGTCTGGTCTCAGTTCTGAAAGTTTGTGTCTGGTCTCAGTTTTAAAAGTTTGTGTCTGGTCTCAGTTCTAAAAGTTTGTGTCTGGTCTCAGTTCTAAAAGTCTGTGTCTGGTCTCAGTTCTGAAAGTTGGTGTCTGGTCTCAGTTCTGAAAGTTGGCGTCTGGTCTCAGGTCTAAAAGTTTGTGTCTGGTCTTAATTCTGAAAGCTTGTGTCTGGTCTCAGTTCTAAAAGTTTGTGTCTGGTTTCAGTTCTGAAAGTTTGTGTCTGGTCTCAGTTCTGAAAGTTTGTGTCTGGTCTCAGTTGTGAAAGTTTGTATCTGGTCTCAGTTCTGAAAGTTTGTGTCTGGTCTCAGGTCTGAAAATTTGTGTCTGGTCTCAGTTCTGAAAGCTTGTGTCTGATCTCAGTTTTAAAAGTTTGTATCTAGTCTCAGTTCTGAAAGTTTGTGTCTGGTCTCAGTTCTGAAAGTTTGCGTCTGGTCTCAGTTCTGAAAATTTGTGTCTGGTCTTAATTCTAAAAGTTTGTATCTGGTCTCAGTTCTGAAAATTTGTGTCTGGTCTTAATTCTAAAAGTTTGTATCTGGTCTCAGTTCTGAAAATTTGTGTCTGGTCCTAATTCTGAAAGTTTGTATCTGGTCTCAGTTCTGAAAGTCTGTATCTGGTCTCAGTTCTGAAAGTTTGTGTCTGGTCTTAATTCTAAAAGTTTGTATCTGGTCTCAGTTCTGAAAGTCTGTATCTGGTCTCAGTTCTGAAAGTTTTGTCTTGTCTCAGTTCTCAAACATGTCAGGTTTTACATTAAACCTTCTATGAGATCTTCTGTTTGTTGCCTGTAACATTAGCTGATTGTCACTTGCAAGTTAGTGAACAGAGGAAGATGTTTAACATTAGCTGATTGTTGCCTGCACATTAGTGAACAGGCAGAGGAAGATGTTTAACATTAGAGGAACCCCAGCAGTCAGTCAGCAGACAAAATGTTATCAAGAACTCTCCAGTAGATTCTCATATGGGATTGTAAGATGATATTTCTGCAGTCAGAAACCTGTAATCTGACACAGATGTGCACACTGGAAACCTTTAGCAGACCGATGAGGTAATTCATTAACTCTTTCACCAGCAGAATGTTTGGCAGTAGATGCTCGAGGAGGGATGAGAAATAATCCTTCTAAAATCATGAGTGCATCAATTTCACAGGGACTGACTGTGCAGTGGGAGTGGCCAGATGTTTGAGTGTTCCATAACCAGACCTGGATAAATACATAATACGCTGGCCTGGATTGTCTGTGTATGTGATAAGGCCATCACAATATACGCTACTTGGGACTTAGAGAGTTAACCCCGTTAAATGTTATTGTCACAGAATGATGTTAACGTTACAATCCTACACTAACCAGGCAGTAGATCAAGATGTTAACATTACAATCCTACGCTAACCAGGCAGTAGATCAAGATTTTAACATTACAATCCTACACTAACCAGGCAGTAGATCAAGATGTTAACATTACAATCCTACACTAACCAGGCAGTAGATCAAAATGTTAATGTTACAATCCTACACTCACCAGGCAGTAGATCAAGACGTTAACATTACAATCCTACACTAACCAGGCAGTAGATCAAGATGTTAATGTTACAATCCTACACTAACCAGGCAGTAGATCAAGATGTTAACATTACAATCCTACACTAACCAGGCAGTAGATCAAGATGTTAATGTTACAATCCCACACTAACCAGGCAGTAGATCAAGACGTTAACATTACAATCCTACACTAACTAGGCAGTAGATCAGGATGTTAACATTACAATCCTACCTAACCAGGCAGTAGATCAAGATGTTAATGTTACAATCCCACACTAACCAGGCAGTAGATTAAGATGTTAACTTAGACTCCACCAGTAATTTATGAGTAATTCAACATGTTACCCATAAATACCTTTTCAAAGCAGCCAGTACATCAAGATGTTAAGATTACAGTGTTGGTAGGAAAACAGTGTTGTTAAAATTACAGTGTTGCTAAGATTACAGTGCTGTTGAGATAACAGTAATGTACAGTAGTCAGTTTTAAAATCACATCAACATGACACTACTTTATGACATAACAGCCAAAAGAAAGGATAGGCTTGGCAGAATGTTTAGCTTTGAAGTTTTTTTTGCTTCCAACAGCGCTTTGCTAATGCAGTTTCCACAGTAGGACTGTAGTCTATGGTTTCGCTGCCTGAGCTACTGTTAAGTGCTTGGCTGCAGCTCTATAAGCTCTGTTTTCTTTGTGGAATGTCTTTCATTTGTGCAGCGGTTGTGTTGTGGTATCCAGTATGGCCAGTAGCTGGTTTACGGTGAAATACCTTATGTAATAATTCTACATGTGTATAGTAACCAACTTATCGTGCACGACTACTTCCATTAATGACAAACTGAATCTCTGGTGCTGGTGGTTGGCTTTGGTGCCTCTAGCAACTGAAATATGCATTTACTGCAGGTACATATTTCTAGATTGTTCCAGCACTAGTTGTTTGTTCACCAGTTTTTCAATTGGAACAGTGAGGGACATTTCATTTGATTTGCCCTGGCACAGGAAGGGAGCAAGTCTGGGGGGAAACCTGTTTAGGGTGAAGTTGAAACCTCCACTAAGACAAAGACTAAGACATAAAATGAACAGATATCAACATTGTAATACTGTTAGAGTATTAATCAACAAAAGACACATGAGAATCCTAAGGTTTTAGCTGTGCCAGCTAAATGATGTCTCATAGTTTTAGCTGTGCCAGCTGAATGATGTCTCATGGTTTTAGCTGTGCCAGCTGAATGATGTCTCATGGTTTGATACCTGCTGCTACTCGAAGTGTTACAGCATAAACATCGGTCCAATCAAGCATGTCTCTGGAAGTGTTACAGCATAAACATGTGTCCAATCAAGAGTGTCTCTGGAAGTGTTACAGCATGAACATTGGTCCAATCAAGCGTGTCTCTGGAAGTGCTACAGCATGAACATCGGTCCAATCAAGCCTGTCTCTGGAAGTGTTACAGCATGAACATCGGTCCAATCAAGCCTGTCTCTGGATGTGTTACAGCATGAACATCGGTCCAATCAAGCGTGTCTCTGGAAGTGTTACAGCATGAACATGGGTCTAATCAAGCGTGGAATGTCTACTATACAAGGAACATTAACTCTACACTATCTAGTCAAAACATTAAATGGAAACATAACCTAACGAAGGTACTAAACACAAAGAACCTATTCAACTAACCTAATGTAATTTTACCTAGTCACAACGTTCCGTCTTGTCTCGTCCAGTCTCAGTCCACAACTCTCTTTCAACTAGCTCGGACAAAGCTTTTTGTTCCGGGGCCCGAGTTCACTGCTCGACACGCAGTAATCCGTGTCACCTGTGTGAACTGGGCTTGGCCCGTTAACTGGACCCAGTTTATTCCGTGGTCAAGCTGCCCGCTCTCATACTGCGTTTTACTGAAGGTCAACTCGTTCATACATGATGATTCACTATCATCAGCTTTGTCCGTCCCATAGCTGAACTGGCCTCTGACACTCTGGAAGTGTTACAGCAAGAACATGGGTCCAATCAAACGTGTCTCTTGAAGTGTTACAGCATGAATATGGGTCCAATCAAGCGTGTCTCTTGAAGTGTTACAGCATGAACATCGGTCTAATCAAGTGTGTCTCTCAAAGCGTTACAGCATGAACATGGGTCCAATCAAACGTGTCTCTTGAAGCGTTACAGCATGAACATAGGTTCAATCAAATGTGTCTCTTGAAGTGTTACCACATGAACGTCGGTCCAATCAAACCTGTGTCTAATATAATTAGTCACCATCATAGTTGTTCACCTGTAGGATTGTAATCCATGTTCATCTGTAGGATTGTAATCCATGTTCACCTGTAGGATTGTAATCCAGTTGGTTAACATCTCAAGGATAAGCATCAAACAGGATCAAATCCCAGTCTAGCCGTGTGACACAGTTACGTGTGACACAGTTACGTGTGACACAGTTACGTGTGACACAGTTACGTGTGACACAGTTATATTGGAACACCCTCCACTTTAAAGTAACCTATAGTCCAGCAAAAGAGATGGAATCATGATGTCGTGTAACAGTTACATAGAGTATCCTCCCTGGCATGCAGTTTTCAGTAATTAGCAGATAATCATAATGCAGTACAGATTAGAATCCTCCATTATTAGCTATCACAATAAAAGTAACACTGGAATCATCCATTATTTATCCATCACAATAGAAGTTAACACTGGAATCATCCATCATTTATTCATCACAATAGAAGTTTAACATTGGAATCATCATTTATCCATCGCAAATGAATGTTCACATTTGACACCTGAGGCTAGGAGTTTGATAAACAAGATTTCAACAGATACTGCAGTGGTAGCCATTTATGTAGTCTCCTGTTTAAATGTGTGGTTGCTCTCCCCTCTCATGACCTCATCGTACGAGGGTGGCAGGTCACTATACAGCTGGCCATCCGGTAAGTCTGACACATGGCTAGTTTCTGGGCAGACAGATTGATAAATAATGTTAGCAACAGTGTTTTGGGAGGACACTTTGACAGGTAATGTTAGCCGCAGTTTTTTGGGAGACAGGTAATGTTAGCCACAGTTTCTTGGGAGACACCTAATGTTAGGAGCAGTTTATGAAGAGACAGGTAATGTTAGCAGCTGTTTCTGGGGAGACATAATGTTAGCAACAATTTCTGGGGAGACAGGTAATGCTTGCAACAGTTTCTAGTGAGACAAATAATGTTAGCAATGGTTTCTGAGAGACAGGTAATGTTAGCAATGGTTTCTGGGAGACAGGTAATGTTAACAGTTTCTGGGGAGATAGGAGATGTTAGCAACAGTTTCTGTGAGAGAGTTTGACAGGTAATGTTAGCAACAGTTTCTGAGGAGACAGGTAATGTTAGCAATGGTTTCTGGGAGACGGGTAATGTTAGCAACAGTTTCTGAGGAGACAGGTAATGTTAGCAATGGTTTCTGGGAGACCGGTAATGTTAACAACAGTTTCTGGGGAGACAGGTAATGTTAGCAATGGTTTCTGGGAGACAGGTAATGTTAGGAACAGTTTCTGGGGAGACAGGAGATGTTAGCATTAGTTTCTGTGAGAGAGTTTGACAGGTAAAGTTAGCAACAGTTTCTGGGGAGACAGTTTAACAGGTAATGTTAGCATCCAGGGTGGCATATGACCTGTAAGTGAGAGGCACTACTATGAAAGAAACAATCTAGTCCAGTTATAATTTTATGGGAGGGGGGAGCTGTAATCCTTGTTTAATTCTGCAATAATGACAAAAATATGTGCTAAATGACAAATAAATGTATTTCAACTGATGTGAAATGTATAAAGACATAGTTAAACCAAAAAATGACTTGAAATGGTTCGGGGGTGTATGGTGTTGGGAGGGGGGGGGGGAGGGAGAACCTCTGCTCTCTACAACCTACAGGAGGAACTAAGCAATCACTTAACTATCGTGGGTGCGGGGAGGGGAGGGAGTTGGTTGGTTAAGGTGTCCCCAGGTTCCAGATGGATTTTATAGCAGGAGGTCTATATATATTTATTTATAAGTCAGGCATGTCAATAATAAACAGTTTAGTCAGCCATGTCAGTAATAAACAGTTTAGTCAGCTACATCAGTAGTAAACAGTTTAGTCAGCCATGTGAGTGATAAACAGTTTAGTCAGCTATATGAGTGATAAACAGTTTAGTCAGCCATGTCAATAATAAACAGTTTAGTCCGCCATGTCAGTAATAAACAGTTTAGTCAGCTACATCTTTAGTAAACAGTTTAGTCAGCCATGTGAGTGATAAACAGTTTAGTCAGCTATATGAGTGATAAACAGTTTAGTCAGCCATGTCAATAATAAACAGTTTAGTCCGCCATGTCAGTAATAAACAGTTTAGTCAGCTACATCTTTAGTAAACAGTTTAGTCAGCCATGTGAGTGATAAACAGTTTAGTCAGCTACATCTTTAGTAAACAGTTTAGTCAGCCATGTGAGTGATAAACAGTTTAGTCAGCTACATCTTTAGTAAACAGTTTAGTCAGCCATGTGAGTAATAAACAGTTTAGTCAGCCATGTGAGTGATAAACAGTTTAGTCAGCTATGTGAGTAGTAATCAGCTTAGTCAGCTAGGACAGTAGTAAACAGTTAGGTGAGCCAATTTAATAATAAACAGTTTAGTCAGCCATGTCAACAAGGAACAGTTTAAGGAGCTACATCAGTTTTTAAAAAACAGATGAGTCAGCTAAATAAGAAATAAACAGTTCAGTTGGCTACATCAAGATGTTTACAAATAAAAAGAACGGTTTTTGCACACACGTGACCTACAAAAGAGCATTGACATGTATTATGGCTGTGTATCCTTGTACCACCATAGATATGTATTAAACTGCTTGTCTCTTTTTCTGTCTGTCTAGTTACCATCCATCCATCCACGTAAATGTTCACATATCTGTCTGCCTACTTGTCTGTCTTATGCTGTGCTAGACATGAAAATGCAATTTATAACACAAAAACACCTAAAAGCTGAAAACACTGTATTACCCTGTGGATTATTCTATTAACATTAAAATATTACCTGTGTGAAATATAACGTCAGCTTGTTGGCTGGCTGTTGACCTTGCTCGACCTTCAGCTCTCACCAGCTGGGTTCTCTGTTGGTTCTTGCGACACACACAGCAACAACACAGGACAGCCACCCCCAGGGAAAGTACCAGAACACTGCCTAGGACCACACCCACGATCAAGCTGACCCTGGTTGGTTGCAGTAGATGCAGTTGTATTGTTAGTATAGAACCTGATGTTGTATTGTTGGATGAGATAAAATGCTGTATTGTTGAAGTAGATTTATATGTTGCATTGTTGGATGAGATACATATAGTGTATTGTTGGAGTAGATATAGATGTTGTATTGTTGAATTAGATACAGATGTTTTATGGTTGGATGAGGTGCACATGTTGTTTTGTTGGTTTGTGACACAGATGTTTTATTGTTGGATGAGATGCAACTGTTGTGTTTTGGATGAGGTACAGATGTTGTATTGTTGGGTGAGATACAGATGTTGTATTGTTATGATATTTCCAGTGCTTCTTTTTTTTTTTTCATCACAAGAACAAAGAAATGTGTGTCCTTCTCATTGTTGTATATAGTGATTTTTTTTCATTAGCCTGAGAAGAAACTACCACAATCACGAAAATTAGTGAGAATATAATTGAGAAGAGACAAGCACTATCACGTGCCACAACTCACGGTGCTGTGCAGCATGGGGCTCCGCTGTAGTAGCAACATCCCCACTGACATTCTGTGGTGGTGAGCAGCTTGTCATACCTGTCGGTGAATGAGTTGAACTTGCTGTTTCTGTACACACACAGCTCGGACAGCACACCTGTGATAGAGAGAGGACAGTGACAGTCATACACTAGTGTCAGTACCTGACATGTCTAACATTGAACTACTGCATATACTGTTGCCCTGTGAGGACCATTGCTGACATTTCTAATGTATGTTGAATTAAATTAGCAGTAGAATTCTTCTTCTTTCTCTACATCTCCTTCTCTACTTTTTCCTTCTACTCTTTTTTTTTCTTGTTCTTATTCTTCTCATCATTATTATTACCATTGCATCCTATTGTGTTTTTGTGTTAACATTTAGGATATGTCTTGCTAGAATGCCATGCTATATTTATGTAACAAACAATCTTGGCCTGGTGGGATGATATATTTATGTAACAAACAGTCTTGGCCTGGTGGGGTGATTATGTTCAACATTCTTCACCTCTTAAGGGAAGATTCCTGACGACTGCGTCAGTGGAATGGCATCACAGACTGCAGTAGGTATACCCAGAGATAGGCATCACAGACTGCAGTAGGTATACCCAGAGATAGGCATCACAGACTGCAGTAGGTATACCCAGAGATTTGGAAAGTCCCAGGAAAATAAATAATAAATGATCTAAAGGACAAACAATCTTCAAACTTTACTGACTTTTTAACTTGCCTCACTGGCATCTTGACTGTCTCCACATCTCACTGATGTCTTGACTGTCTCCACATCTCACTGATGTCTTGACTGTCTCCACATCTCACTGATGTCTTGACTGCCTCCACATCTCACTGATGTCTTGACTGCCTCCACATCTCACTGATGTCTTGACTGTCTCTCCATCTCACTGATGTCTTGACTGTCTCCACATCTCACTGATGTCTTGACTGTCTCCACATCTCACTGATGTCTTGACTGTCTCTACATGTCACTGATGTCTTGACTGTCTCTACATCTCACTGATGTCTTGACTGTCTCCACATGTCACTGATGTCTTGACTGTCTCTCCATCTCACTGACATTTTGACTGTCTCTCCATCTCACTGACATTTTGACTGTCTCTCCATTTCACTGACATTTTGACTGTCTCCACATCTCACTGACGTTTTGACTGTCTCCACATCTCACTGACATTTTGACTGTCTCCACATCTCACTGACATTTTGACTGTCTCCACATCTCACTGACATTTTGACTGTCTCCACATCTCACTGACATTTTGACTGTCTCCACATCTCACTGACATTTTGACTGTCTCCACATCTCACTGACATTTTGACTGTCTCCACATCTCACTGTCGTTTTGACTGTCTCCACATCTCACTGACGTTTTGACTGTCTCCACATCTCACTGACGTTTTGACTGTCTCCACATCTCACTGACGTTTTGACTGTCTCCACATCTCACTGACATTTTGACTGTCTCTCCATCTCACTGACGTTTTGACTGTCTCCACATCTCACTGACATTTTGACTGTCTCCACATCTCACTGATGTCTTGACTGTCTCCACATCTCACTGATTTCTTGACTGTCTCCACATCGCACTGATGTCTTGACTGTCTCCACATCTCACTGATGTCTTGACTGTCTCCACATCTCACTGATGTCTTGACTGTCTCCACATCTCACTGATGACTTGACTGTTTCCACATCTCACTGACATTTTGATTGTCCCCACATCTCACTGATGTCTTGAATGTCTCCACATCTTACTGATGTCTTGAAAGTCTCCACATCTCACTGATGTCTTGAATGTCTCCACATCTCACTGATGTCTTGACTGTCTCCACATCTCACTGATGTCTTGACTGTCTCCACATCTCACTGATGTCTTGACTGTCTCCACATCTCACTAATGTCTTGACTGCCTCCACATCTCACTGATGTCTTGACTGCCTCCACATCTCACTGATGTCTTGACTGTCTCTCCATCTCACTGATGTCTTGACTGTCTCCACATCTCACTGATGTCTTGACTGTCTCCACATCTCACTGATGTCTTGACTGTCTCTACATGTCACTGATGTCTTGACTGTCTCCACATCTCACTGATGTCTTGACTGTCTCTACATGTCACTGATGTCTTGACTGTCTCTACATCTCACTGATGTCTTGACTGTCTCTACATCTCACTGATGTCTTGACTGTCTCCACATGTCACTGATGTCTTGACTGTCTCTCCATCTCACTGACATTTTGACTGTCTCTCCATCTCACTGACATTTTGACTGTCTCTCCATTTCACTGACATTTTGACTGTCTCCACATCTCACTGACGTTTTGACTGTCTCCACATCTCACTGACATTTTGACTGTCTCCACATCTCACTGACATTTTGACTGTCTCCACACCTCACTGACATTTTGACTGTCTCCACATCTCACTGACATTTTGACTGTCTCCACATCTCACTGACGTTTTTACTGTCTCCACATCTCACTGACGTTTTGACTGTCTCCACATCTCACTGACGTTTTGACTGTCTCCACATCTCACTGACGTTTTGACTGTCTCCACATCTCACTGACATTTTGACTGTCTCTCCATCTCACTGACGTTTTGACTGTCTCCACATCTCACTGACATTTTGACTGTCTCCACATCTCACTGATGTCTTGACTGTCTCCACATCTCACTGATTTCTTGACTGTCTCCACATCGCACTGATGTCTTGACTGTCTCCACATCTCACTGATGTCTTGACTGTCTCCACATCTCACTGATGTCTTGACTGTCTCCACATGTCACTGATGACTTGACTGTTTCCACATCTCACTGACATTTTGATTGTCCCCACATCTCACTGATGTCTTGAATGTCTCCACATCTTACTGATGTCTTGAAAGTCTCCACATCTCACTGATGTCTTGAATGTCTCCACATCTCACTGATGTCTTGATAGTCTCCACATGTCACTGATGTCTTGACTGTCTTCACATGTCACTAATGTCTTGACTGTCTCCACATGTCACTGATGTCTTGACTGTCTCCACATCTCACTGATGTCTTGAATGTCTCCACATCTTACTGATGTCTTGACTGTCTCCACATGTCACTGATGTCTTGACTGTCTCCACATGTCACTGATGTCTTGACTGTCTCCACATCTCACTGATGTCTTGAATGTCTCCACATCTTACTGATGTCTTGATAGTCTCCACATCTTACTGATGTCTTGACTGTCTCCACATTGCATTGATGTCTTGACTGTCTCCACATCTCACTGATGTCTTGATAGTCTCCACATCTTACTGATGTCTTGATAGTCTCCACATCTTACTGATGTCTTGATAGTCTCCACATTGCATTGATGTCTTGACTGTCTCCACATCTTACTGATGTCTTGACTGTCTCCACATTGCATTGATGTCTTGACTGTCTCCACATCTCACTGATGTCTTGATAGTCTCCACATCTTACTGATGTCTTGACTGTCTCCACATTGCATTGATGTCTTGACTGTCTCCACATTGCATTGATGTCTTGACTGTCTCCACATCTCACTGATGTCTTGATAGTCTCCACATCTCATTGTGAACCGAAGTACAGACACCTTTGCATGGCTTTAGCTCTGTGATAGCCCTTATGCCTATTGATGTATTCAGGCCCACAGCAAGTGTCCCTAACCTTTCTCAAGAGCCTAGTACCAGCCTACCTACAGAGTGACTGCCTGTGGTTGCCTCAGTTATCCCTGCCTACAGAATGACTGCCTGTGGTTGCCTCAGTTATCACTGCCTACAGAGTGACTGCATGCAGTTGCCTCAGAGATCACTGCCTACAGAGTGACTGCATGTAGTTGCCTCAGAGATCACTGCCTACAGAGTGACTGCATGTAGTTGCGTCAGAGATCACTGCCTACAGAGTGACTGCATGTAGTTGCCTCAGAGATCACTGCCTACAGAGTGACTGCATGTAGTTGCCTCAGAGATCACTGCCTACAGAGTGACTGCATGTAGTTGCCTCAGAGATCACTGCCTACAGAGTGACTGCATGTAGTTGCCTCAGAGATCACTGCCTACAGAGTGACTGCCTGTGGTTGCCTCAGAGATCACTGCCTACAGAGTGACTGCCTGTGGTTGCCTCAGAGATCACTGCCTACAGAGTGACTGCCTGTAGTTGCCTCAGAGATCACTGCCTACAGAGTGACTGCCAGTGGTTGCCTCAGAGATCACTGCCTACAGAGTGACTGCCTGTAGTTGCCTCAGAGATGACTGCCTACAGAGTGACTGCATGTAGTTGCCTCAGAGATCACTGCCTACAGAGTGACTGCCTGTGGTTGCCTCAGAGATCACTGCCTACAGAGTGACTGCCTGTGTTTGCCTCAGTTATCACTGCCTACAGAGTGACTGCCTGTAGTTGCCTCAGAGATCACTGCCTACAGAGTGACTGCATGTAGTTGCCTCAGAGATCACTACCTACAGAGTGACTGCCTCACACACACGCAAGCAAAAGTACACATCAGTCTGATTGTTCCTTAAATGCAGAGGAGCAAGGAACAGATGAAGGCAGTCTCAGCAAATACATGACCCCACTCTGATGTTCTGTTCTCTGATCTATAATGGAAGATCTATTTCAAGTTGGCTGGTGAAACATAAAATATAACTTGCAGACCACAAATCTGCCGAGCTAAGTAGCGACCTGGCTTTCCACACGCCAAGTATCAAATATAAGTTTTAGTCACGTTAAGAGACACAACAATGAGATTGATCTCCCTTCCCATTGATGCCTCGATCTGGTGTAGGTCCTCTACTATATATACAACATATAATAGGGACTGTGTGTTTCGGCAGCTAGCAGCAGATTAAATATGGTTTTGGATTTTTGTGTACATGGACTTGGACTGGAGACTGCAAGTACTCGGTTAGCGAGCGGTAATGAGATTCAAGAAAACAAGAGACAGTATGATCGCCACTCTGAACATGACGAACGGCACTACAAAGCTAAAAGATAGTCAACCAGATCGAGAAGACCCGCAGTGAGGACATACAGCTACCAAATAACATGACGAACGGCACTACAAAGCTAGTCAACCAGATCAAGAAGACCCGCAGTGAGGACAT